ACGCGATTTCATTATTATTATTTTTGTTGGATATTTTAGTGTCATTACTCATATCATATATTGTTTTTATTTTCTTAAGAAACACCTTAGATAGTTGTATTTTGGTAGGACTAAAGAAATATTTGAAGTACAAGTAAATTATATGTTTGTATGAATACTTTACCGGAAAAACCCGAAAATCCGAAAAACCTAAAAAAATCCAAAAAAACCCGAGTTTAATTGGTTTGGTTTGGTTTATAGATTTAAAAATCCGACACAAATGGTTTGGTTTGATATTTGAAAAACCCGAACCAACCCGGTCATGTACACCCCTAACTGGTAATATGGCTTCACGATGAATTTTTTTGTGAAACCCTCCGCAGGGAGTTGGTGGAACAGTACGTATAGTTTCACCATTTTTAGAGTGAATTTTGGGCATTTAGGGGTCAATTTACAGGAATTATAATTTTCTCAGTTTTTCATGTGTTAGCACAAGAATATTTTGGTGATATGGTTTCCGAACGATTTTTTTGTGAAACCATTATGGAACTCTCCGTTGAGTTGGGAGAGCAGTACGTATATGCTCACAATTTTAGAGTGATTTTGGGGAATTTAGGGGCCAATTTACATGAATTATGTAATTTTCTCAGTTTTTCGTGTGTTAACACCCATAAATTTTTTGGTGATATGACTTCTGAACGAATTTTTTGTGAAACCTCTATGGAACCCTCCATAGGGAGTTGGGGGAGTAGTATGTACAATCTCACCATTTTTAGAGTGATTTTTGGGCATTTATGGGTCAATTTACAAGCATTAGATGATTTCTCAATTTTTCGTGTGTTAGCCCATGAATATTTTGATGATATGACTTACAAATGATTTTTTTGTGAAACCTTTACTAACCATTTATTTCATATGTAAATAAAATTTATAATTCATATCATTACTTTTAAATCATTTATATCACATATAACTATTATTATCACCAAGATAAAATTTAGGGCTAACCCATCACTGGCCCCTTAAACTAGGCATCAACTTTCACTTGGACACTTTAACTAGGCTTTGTTCATTTTAAGCACCTCATGTCGCGTCTCGTTGTGTCATTTTGATACTTTTTATATTTTCAAAACCACCTTTTAAGTGCGTACATTTAGACACCTCTTATGTGAAAAAAATAAACGAATTGGTATGTGACACGTGGAAATTTTATTATATTTTTTAAAAACTTAATTTTACTTTCTTTTTTTTACTTCCAGATCCCAAACCCCATGCCCTCACCTCTTTTCTTCTTCTTCTTGCGCCTCCTTCCCCTTCATCTGTTCTTCTCCATCAAAAAGGCAAGAACATAAGTTAGTTTACAAAGTAAAATACGTTGAGAGAATAAGGGAAATCATATCAAATTGAAAAGTTTTTATATGACATTTGATTTCTTGTGCTACTACGATTGGAATTTACAATGAAGGATATGTAAAATAAATTTCTTTTTTTTTCATCGGAGGTTGTTCTTTATTTCTTTTTTATCCCTTGAAATCAATTTAATTTCGTAATTTCAACGGAGAAGGTAAGAATGTAAATCAGTTTTTCCATTTGAAAGAAGTTGATTTCTTTTTTTGTTCCCTTGAAATTAATTTTGTTTTTGAATGTGAATCAAGATGCAAATTCGACTTTCAAAGAAGACGGAAGAATCAAAGAGTGCAACCTAGTAAAATATTGTAGAATTTTTAAAAAAAGTTGTGTGGTGATGGAGGATGGTAGAAGGTGGAGAAGATGGAAGGGAGAAAGCAAGGAAGAAGAAGGAGAAGAAAATATTTACAAAAAAAGTGTCTGACGCGCTCAAAATTTGTGTAGCACATGTACTATGCTTACTTAGTAAAAAGTGTCAAAATGACACAACATGAAGCGACAAGAGGTGTCTAAAATAAACAAAGTTTAGTTGAAGTATCTAAGTGAAACTTGATGCCAAGTTTAAGGGGCCAGTGATGGGTTAGCCCTAAAATTTATTATAACTTCAAATCAACTCCTACTTTACCATTTATATCCATCAATTTTTATTATTTTTTATCAAATTTATTTACCAACCAAATTGACCAACTAATGGCTAAAAGTAACAATGTTGGTTCGTCTTTTTGGTTATATGATCGAGAAATGCAAGTTTAGTGTGAGAAGGTTGTTTGTGATATGTGTGAATATATTAAAAATTAGTACACTACAACTTATGTTCAATTTTATTTTTTATTGAATTAAAGTTTGATCAATAAATGTTGTATTTTTTAAGAATAGCTTTGGGATAGTGTATCATGTGATTTTATAAACTTTTGCTTATTTGATATGCTTGTATAAAAGATTGGGGATGATTTTAATAGTTTTACAACTTATGAGTTTTTATGTTTATGAGAAAACATACTACTACATAAAAAGTCTAAATTACAGGTCCAAACAAAACTTCAACTTTATTTTATGATTTCATAATATGATTTGATATCATGGTTTCAAATCATGATTTCATATCGCAGAGCCAAACAGACCTAAGATCATTTGAATACTAAGATCAATTAGGATCTCTATACCGATCTTCAAGATTTTTGAATTTATTTTGATATAAACATATATATATATATATATATATATATTTCCTAAAGCTAATTAATCTATTATTATATATTATATTCCTAATAAGAAATGTATAATTAATTACTCTATAAGACAACAAACAAAAAAAAAATTCAAAGAGAGGCTGCTCTTAAGTTGCTCGTCACACTCCATTATAACTAATCTTTTCTTATTATTTCTTTTTATTGTAGAATAAACCAACTTGTTTTTTGGATAAACTCATTAATTATCAATAGTTGTTTTTACACTTTATGGGTAGGATTTAATTCATATAAACTAATAATATAAAAACAAATACTATTGTTTTAGCATGTATTTACCATATTTTTCATCTTATATATTTTAGTTTTTTTTTTTTTTGAAAAATTAATTACATGCAATCATCATTTAGATAATCTGATAATACCAAAAAAAAAAAAACTTACGTTGTCAACGTGGAGAAGTTAAATTTCGATAAGCTATAAGCTTAAGTTGGTTAAACTTGAAATGAAGGAGACATATTATTGTAAATGTTTAAGTTATATACCTTGTTAGTATAATATATATATATATATATATATATTATTATTATTATGTTATCTTTATCTGTAGCTAGTAATATGACGTATTTTCAAAATTATACATCTCACATTTTATGAAAACTCACTTATAAATATCCTTTAAATAATTTAACAACGTAAATTATTATTTTTTTACTAATGATGTATATGACTTAAACTCTTTTGTGGTATCCTCCGATCAGATCTAGATGTGAACCTGGAACTTGCCACTATGAAGAGAAATGAATATGTCAATTACTACTCTCGTTTTTTTAGATCACTAATTATCCAATGATTTTAAAAGATATATGATTAATTTATCAATATTATTATTATCTTAATTAATTAGAACTTGAATCATATTGCTATTGGCTAATTAAGCAATACATATCAATACATCATCGTCTTATAAGTTAAAAGCATATGTCTCCCATCTATTGGAAAGTTTAGTGTATAAGTTAGAAGAATATATATCGTGATAGATGCACATTATTTATTTATTATTGGTAATTGTACTTAAAGAACTTAATGACCTTTAAAAGATTATGAATTATGAAAACATGCAAAATTTAGAATTGAAAAAATTATATTAAAACAAGGATGAGATTTTCAAATCAGTAAAATGAAAACATGCAAGATTTTCTGTTGGCTGCCAAAAATGCCTTTTGTACGTGGGTTTGCCCATATGCACTCTTTTGATCGAATAAATAACTCCCACTTGGTTTGGGTGTAATAAAAAAATAAAAAATCAGTAAAATGGGCACTTAAATAATAGGATAATATATTTAATATATAGTTTGTAATGTTGGTGGGAAAGACGGCCAAATTGCCTTGTTTGAAGACAAAGAACTTTAAAGTAAATAATTATTCTCTCCGTCCTTAACTTATATGATGATATTTGATTGATACGAGATTTAAGAAAAAATAAATCTAAATTACAATTAAATCATCTTTAAAGTACATATATCCGTAAAGATAGTGGAGTATTTGTTTGTGTAAGCCATCCATTAAAAAGATGAAATCGTTGAAGTATATAAATTATACTAAAATAAAGAGAAAAATGTAAATTAATTGTCTAAAATTTGTAGTAGTGTTGTTAAAGATAAAATTCTCTATGGATTAATTTAATGACAAAGTTAAAAAGAATTGAGTTATATGTACTGATAATATAAAGTATTTTTCTATTAGTAGTGCAATTTAACTTGTTATAATAGATTCTCAATATATTTTTTAATAATTATATCAGGCTAAGATATTTGACTTTGTCATGGCAAGAGTAACGAGAGGACAACCTTGACATGATTGCGAACATTGCCCATTGCCCAAGAGGGATGAACGTGTTCGTGTGTGCAAGTATTTTAAAAAGTTGACACACTGAAGTTGGCTAATCGCACAAAAGGGTACCGTTCGTGGGTGGTGGTTCAACAAATTGTGGACCCTTTCACCTAGTTGAGCTGAGCATGGTAAAATTTGTTAAGAAACAAATTATGAACCTAACTCAACCTCATAATATAGCGGATTGTCTAAGTCCATATAAAGAAATCAAATTTCTCATCTCTAGCCAATGTGAGACACTCAACATACACCCTCACACTCGAGGTTGGACATCTGGTGCATAAGCAATTTAATATGGGACCAACATTGATAATCGATAAACTATGAATTGGAATGGGTCTGGCCTGATATCATGTTAAAGAAATGGATCTTAGATCTAACTCAACCCCGAAGCTAGTTTATAACTAAGTGAAAATTGTCAAAATCCATCTAAGAAGACCAAATCTCCCTTCCCTAGCAGAAATACCCCTTACGTTATCAACGTGGTCCGTGGAGAAGTTAAATTTCCATAAGCTACAAGTTTAAGTTGCTTAAACTTGAAATGGAGACATATTATTGTAAATGTTTTAAGTTATAAGTATAAGAATTTTTATATTATTAGGTTATTTTTATCTGTTAGCAAGTAATATGACGTATTTTTAAAATTATATATCTCACATTTTATGAAAACTTATTTATAAATAATCTTTAAATAATTTAACAATCTAAAAAAAAAATCTTTTTTACTAATGATGTATATGACTTAAACTCTTTTGTGATATCTTCCGATCAGATCTAGATGTGAACCTGAAACTTACCATTGTGAAGAGAAATGAATATGTCAATTACTACTCTTGGTTTTTTAGATCATTAATTATCCAATGATTTTAAAAGATAGATGTTTAATTTACTAAGCAATACATATCAATAAATCATCTTATAAGTTAGAAGCATATGTCTCCCATCTATTGGAAAGTTTAGTGTATAAGTTAGAAGAATATATATCGTGATGGATGCACATTATTTATTTATTATTGGTAATTGTACTTAAAGAACTTAATGACCTTTAAAAGATTATGAATTATGAAAACATGCAGAATTTAGAATTGAAAAAAATATATTAAAACAAGGATGAAATTTGCAAATCAGTAAAATGGGCACTTAAATAATAGGATAATATATTTAATATATAGTTTGTAATGTTGGTGGGAAAGACGGCTAAATAGCCTTGTTTGAAGACAGAGAACTTTTAGAGTAAATAATTATTTTCTCTGTCCTATATGATGATATTTTGACTGAAACGATATTTAAAAAAAATAAAATCTAAATTACAATTAAATCGTCTTTAAAGTACATATATCCGTAACGTTATTTTTTCACATTACTTTAAAGATAGTGGAGTATTTGTTTGTGCAAACCATCCATTAAAAAGATGAAATCGTTGAAGTACATAAATTATACTAAAATAAAGAGAAAAAAGTAAATAAATTGTCTAAAATTTGTAGTAGTGTTGTTAAAGATAAAATTCTCTATGGATTAATTTAATGACAAACAAGTAAAGTTAAAAAGAATCCAGTTATATACAGATATTATAAAACGTTTTTATGGTCTTAGTGCAATTTAATTTGTTATAGTAGATTCTTAATATATTTTCTAATAATTATATCGGGCTAAGATATTTGACTTTGTAATGGCAAGAGTAATGAGAGGACAACCTTGACATGATTTCGAACATTGCCCCATTGCCGATGTGAGACACTCAACATATTGGACATCTGGTGTGTGAGCAATTCAATATGGGGACCAACATCGGTAATCGATAAAGTATGAATTGGGATGGGTCTGGCCTATACCATGTTAAAATATCCCTCCGGGCTAATATTAGCCTAAACTTTATTACAGGTAGTCATTCCCCCGTTTCTTTAGTCTTCTAAAGGGCACTAACACCATGAATCAAGAAAATCCGAGTGATATACATATAAACTTTGGCTCATTGGTCCCTTAGGGAAAATTATCAACATACAAAGTTACTCGATTGTCAGTGCGCATAACATAAACTCGAAGCAAAAGTTGGAGACAGTAATATGTACTATTCAATCTGTCTATACAGATAACAAGATTCTTTGCATTCCTTGTAGTAATAGTATTGTCTATGGGGGATAACAAGAACATAGGTTTGAGCTACAAAAGTACATATGATGTTCCATCCTGCTTTGTTCATATGACCAACTTGGAATCCAATCCAATAATGTTACTTCATTCGAAGAGTACGCGAAAAAATCAGCAGAGGAACAATCACCTTTTTCGGAATAAGTGTCTTCACTGTTGGATGATGAGTTTAGGACAGTATCGCGTTTCAAAATCGATGATCTTTGTTCTGAATTACTTGTGCTATTCCCAGAGGATTCTGTCAAATGGAAAAAAAAGAATCATATGTGAGAGAAGGCACACTTAGGGAACAGACACAATATCAACAAGCAGAGTATTTTCTAGTAGACCTTGTTTATAAATTAGTGTTTTCTTTCGTAAATGACTTCTCCAGTAGTTTTTGATTTCGTTATCAGTTCTTCCAGGCAATTGTTTAGCAATCTTTGACCACCTGTAACGTCGATAAAACTTTTAGTACTAATAAGCCAAGCAGAAAAATCTTATCCTGGTAATGCTGAAGATGTAATTCCGTAAATAAGATGATCACAATTCAACGTGGTATTAGAGTAGGCAAAATTTCATATATCCTTAACAGTTTCTTACGAAGAAGAAAATTAAGCCTACTTGTTTCCAAACTGTTTCTGAAGACGGATTATCAAGCGTTCTTCATCTGCAGTAATATGACCGTGCTTTAGATTTGGGCGGAGGTAGTTCAGCCATCTCAATCTGCAGCTTTTTCCGCTCCTCTTCAGCCCTGTATGGTAGCATATTTAAACAGAGTTATATGATGATTTTCTAATGGATGTTTCAACTTTCATTGCTTCGACTTGAACTATATATGCGAAAATATGTCAAAAAACACCATACCTGAAGTTTTTGCTAAGGCATCCCAACGACGTTCACCAAAGACACCTACCATCATAGACAGTCTCTCATCTTCCTCTTCGAGCCATTGTCCTCTTCGTAATTCCTCTTCTTGCATGGTTAATTGAGAAGCCATTAGTGAATATTTATGGTTGCCACAAACTAACTGAGTTACCCTCCTTATATAGGATGCCAATGTGGCTAAAAAGAGAAAAAGAGTAAGTGGAAAACATAAGTTTATAATGGAATACCAGCATACCATCACAAAAGATAAATTCATCCTCTCAAGGCTTACATTGGGTCAGCAAAGGAGTTTTGAATTTTATATACATAAAGAGTGGAGTTCTATCTCCCTTTTTACATCACCAGTACACACAGGTTGTCTGCTTAACACTACACTGTGGGCATAAAGATTTTGTCTCATTCATCACAGTAATATAAACTATAAGCTCTAATTAGGCATGTGGTTAGATAGAAAACTCAAGATAAGCATGAGGTTTTGGTGCATTGCAAAATCCAATATATGCATCTAATGTGGGGCAACAAAATTTTATTGTGCTCAACAGCTTTTTCCATTGAACTGAGACACTAATACAAGTTGAACTTTGTCACTGTTATGAAAACTACTCACTTTATTAAACCTGTAAAGATAGCCCCCAGCTTTCATAAAAATGGAAAGGTTGGATCACCATAGATAATAATTTCTCTGGTACATTGTATCGTGACACATCGTTTAACATGAATTCTCTTTTTTATTCATGACAACATGGTGTTCAGATCAGCTAGTGTGTACCTCGACTATTCTATCAAGTACCTGCTACCTACTACCAGCAGAATGTAAAGTAGTGTAACAAGGATTAATTTGGCAAGATTGCACTTGCTCTACCACTATTATCATCCTTATTTGACAGTCAATTTGTGACAAAAGTAAGTGATTCTGCAAAGCAGGTGTTCATAGTGTATTCTTTTATTTTTTTTCATAAACAAGAAAATGTCATTGTATATTCATCTACTACTACACATGATGATAGGTGATCTTAGGTGTATTTATATGCCTAAGTTGTCAATACTTGCCCATGAATTGATTGAAGTAACAAATGATCTTGAGTCTATTAGCTTATTTTGTTATACTTGCGATATTATGCACTAAAACATGTGATTAGAAGTTTCAGGAACTCTCAAGGAGATTGGAGTCGAATTGAAAGAAAAGATGCAAAGATATGCTGAAAAGAAGCTAAGGCTGAAGGCCCCAGGGCCAGGCGCACTGCTAGGCGCAAGGCGCCAAGGGCCAACATTCAGAGAGGCCTCTGAGAGCCGTGACGCGCCAAGGCCCAACATTATGGAGCCTCTGAGAGGCGCGACGCGCCAGAGTGGAAACCTCAGAGGTGAAGTTTGGGCACGATGCTAGGCGCGACATGCCAGTGGGATCCCGACTTTTCCAGCTTAAAAGTGTTTAAAAAGGATTCCTAATTGTAATAGACTTTGTCTCTAATTTTCCTACCATTATAAATAGACCCTTAGGGCTCCATAATTAGGGTTCGACATTATTTTGGTGTGCAAGAGCAAGATTCGTCTTTTGTAATAGGTTTTGATCTTCTAAACTCTTCTATTTTCCGGAAATCGCATGAACAATTGTATTTTGTGGTTTTCTAATAGCATGAGTGGCTAAACACCATAGTTCTGGGGCTATAGCTACGAATGGATTGTTGATTATTAAAGGCTTTATGAATTAATTCTTGGTTGTCATTATAAGTTACTTCTATATTCTTGTTTTAGTATTTTATGTTTGATCACCATAAGATAAATACATTGTCTGATCTTAAAATCGAGAGAGGAGGGATTAGATAGACCAGAGAATATAAAGAGCTCGATCGACCCATTTGATTGAGGTGATTTTTGTTTAGGAGTGACGCCTGGACGAACAACTTGCTTGGTTACGAAATAGGATGAAATATAAATGCTCGCCAGTTAGTCTATTTATCCCCGCTCAACGATGTAGTTAGATAGCTAACTGGAGTAGGCGACTAGAGGTGTATAGCTCGACTAAAACAATTAACCCTATAAACCAGTAACTTGACAACTGAAATTCGCTCTAAGCCAATAATATGATACATGAGATTCATGGCATGTTGCAGCCCTGGAATTGTCCTTTACTTACTTGAAACATCATCTTAAAGTCATTCACATTTAGTTACGTTTATTTAGTTCATAATTAGTAGGAGTTAACAATCAATCATCAACTCTTGAAAATGTTACTTTTACTTTTATTTGTAGAATTAAGTGTTAAATATAAATTGATCATAAGTTCCTTAGGAACGATAACTCGTTTCTTAAAGAATCTATATTACTTGCGCGACCACGTACACTTGCGTGTATATTGGGGAGCAACAAGTTTTTGGTGCCGCTGCCGGGGACTTAGAAATTGATTTATATTCAATCTTCTTAAGTCTACAATTAAAATATGCAGGTATTAATTACTTGATCTTAGCTTGTTTATTGCAGGCAATTGGCTTTCAGGTCCGGCTCGAAAATGAGAACTTGTCGAACCGTACAACGAACCCGAAAGAGTTTTACGCCAGCGCAAGAAAATGGCGAATCAAGGACGACATGGAGAATTAGGGTTAGGTCTTTCGGGAAACATTGATGATGATAATCAAGAAAACTTGAATAACCCGAAAAACATGAATAACCAAGGAAATTTGAATAACCAAGGAGTACCGCCTGTCGTACCCACAAGATCAGTCAGTGATGTAGCAGTCCCACTCACAGTCAATTTGGCATCTAGTATTAGGAAACCTCTACCGGGGGGTAGATTTGGACTAAAGTAGAGCATGGTACAAATCCTCCATTCTAATGGGCAATTCACAGGTCTCCCCCACGAGGATCCTCAAATCCACCTTAGGAACTTCATAGATATTACTGATACATACATCCCAATTGGATTCTCATCAGACTATGTGAGGCTGACATTGTTTCCATACTCATTGTTAGGAGCCGCAAGACGTTAGTTAGATTCTGAGCCACCAAACTCCATCACTACTTAGGATTATCTAGCAAAAAAGTTCTTGAGTCGATTCTTCCCATCCAAGAAAACCGCTAAGCTGAGGAGTGAGATAATAAGCTTTTCTCAAAATCAAGGGGAGGACATATACCAAGCATGGGCGCGTTTCAAACAAATGTTGAATGCTTGCCCACACCACATGCAAACTAATGAGGTACTTGCTCACACTTTTTTGAGGGTCTAGATTATAATGCTCGTTCACTTCTTAATAGTGCACCAGGTGGACAGGCCCTAGCTAAAACATGTGAAGAGTTGTTCGATTTACTCGATAAACTCTCAGAAGGGAACCAAGGGTATGAGGGGGAAATGCCTAGAACCACAACCCAAAAGGCTACGGGGATCTTAGATGTAGATCAAGCTACTGCCATAAATGTCAAATTAGATGCAATGCAGCATAACATGACCTTACATTTTTAAAAAATGGCTCTAAACCATGCACCGGTAAACGTTGTACAATAGACAACCAATTGGTGTGAGGTATGTGGTAGTGGAACTCATGAAACTGATCAACGTGAGGCAAATCCGAATTCCGTAAACTATGTAGGAAATGCCCAAAGGGGTGGAGTTCAACAAAATTATGGTAACACTTACAACCCTAGTTGGAAGAACCATCCTAACTTCTCATGGGGTGGGAACCAAAACCAAAATCAGGCGCAAGGGGTTAACCAATACCGTTCTCAAGGGGCTAGGCAACAATACCAAAGTCCTAGCCAAGACGCAAATCCTAGTGCTCCAAAAGGGGGGATGACCAATGAAGAGCTACTCCAAAAACTCATGACTGAAATAGGGACCAAATTAAATGCTAGGATAGATAAGCAGGATGAGAACATCAGAAACATCCAAATGTCCCAAATGAGTTTAGAGAAGCAAGTTGCGCAAGTAGCTAATTCTCTGAACATGCGTCCCCAAGGTGGGCTGCCCAGTGATACTGAACCCAACCCAAATTAATTGCATGCGGTAAGTACTAGAAGTGGGTTACGATTAGAGGAACTAGCTCCAAAGAAGAGAGATACTGAGGTAAGTACCAAAGAAAAGAAAGTGGAAGAGGTAGTAAAAAGCTCAAATGTTGAGGTACCCATTCCTCAAAAGAAATTATCACCTCAATTTCCACAAAGGCTCAAAAAACAGAATGAAGATGAATGCTTCAGTAAGTTTCTCTCTCTCCTTAAACAGGTTCACATTAATCTGCCTTTGGTTGACATTTTGCAGGGTATCTTGAAGTATGCTAAGTATGTGAAGGACATTGCGGCTAGTAAGAGGAGGCTCACGGAGTATGAAATTATAGCACTTACTGAGGAGTGCAGCTCTAGGATCCAAAATAGACTACCTAAAAAGATAAAAGATCCGGGTAGTTTTACTGTGCAGATTACTATTGGGAAAAATGTTCATGCCCGTGGATTGTGTGACTTATGGGCAAGTATAAATCTGATGCCCTTGCCATTATATCAAAAGCTTGGGTTGGGTAGTCCAAAACGAATCACTGTTATTCTCTAATTTGCTGATAGATCCATTCTAGGCCAGATGGGGTGATAGAAAATGTGTTAGTTCAAGTAAGCTCTTTGATTTTTCATGTGGATTTTGTGGTCTTAGATTTTGACCCGATTCTGAAGTTACATTCATTTTGGGACATCCATTCTTGGCAACGAGTAGGGCATTGATTGATGTAGCAGCTGGTCAATTGACTATGAGGGCACATGATAAAGTAGAGGTATTTGATGTTTACCGCGCTTTAAAATTACCTTCTATTTATGAAGAATTGTCTGCTATTACTGTGGTTGATCGCATAGTAGAATCACAAGTATTGGTACCCGAAGATCCCTTAGAGAAAGTGTTAGTAGGTGATGCTTATCGTGACCAACGACACTATCCTACGATATGAGTGTCTACGATCATCGATAATATAGTAACCCAACCGAGGGTTGGGGTTGTGTCCCAAGGGAGCGGTTTTTGAGAATTAATAACCAATTAGAATTTCATTCAAGTTAGTCGTAGTTAAAGACGTTTGCGATAAAAGACATAGTAAATTAAATAGTGATTTAGAATAGAACAAGTAATCAAATAGAAGATAATGTATAGGAATTACCATCTCAAGATTTAGAAGATCCTGTGTTGGTATATTCCTTTTATTATTATTTAGTTATTCTTTATTATTTCATTATTATTTAATAATAGTATTAGGATTCGAATACAGGTGGAGGGGTTTTTCTTGGTT